TCCTTCCTTCCTTCCTTCCTTCCTTCCTTCCTTCCTCTCTTCCTATTTCTCCTGCTCTATTTCTCCTCCATTCCTTCCTTCCCTCCCTCTTCCTTCTTCCTTCTTCCCTCTTCTCCTTCTTCCTATTTCTTTTTCTCCTCCCTCCCTATTTCTCCTGCTCTTTCTCCTTCCTTCCTTCCTTCTTCCTATTTCTCCTGCTCTATTTCTCCTCCATTCCTTCCTTCCTTTCCTCTCCTTTCCTTTCCTCTCCTTCCTATTTCTCCTCTATTTCTCCTCCCTCCCTTCTTCCTATTTCTCCTGCTGTTTCTTCTTCCTTCCTTCCTTTCCTCTCCTTCCTTCCTCCCTCCCTCCTCCCCCCTCCTTCCTATTTCTCCTCCCCCCCTTCTTCCTATTTCTCCTCCTCTATTTCTTCTTCCTCCCTCCCTCCCTCTGAAAGTTTCCCGTAGAAATGGCACTCCATTCAGAATTCTAGGAATTTAAAGAAAACCTAGAAAACATTCTTATCCAGCCTCTGGAGACCATTAGCTTCGGATCTGACAGCCCAACTCAACACAAATGAAGAAAATATTACGACACCTTTCTTTTCTTCTTAGCAAGGGGAAACAAAAAAAAAAAGGAGCAATAAACACAGCTTTAGAGTGATGCTTCAAAAGGTAGCAGCCATGCACAGAAGAAAGTTCCAGGGTGTAGAATCAAGGCAACATATCACAACCATTTAAATTGAGCCCGGCTTCTATTGGAGCCGTCAATCCAGCTATATTATCAAGCCACGAATGCAATTCCTTGGTGTCCCAATTGCAAAAATTCTCTGGGCTTTTTTTTTTCTTTTTTTGAAGGCAATCTCTCTCTGCAGACTTTGCAACACTGCCTCTGCCAAACAGATTTAATTTACTCAATCTTTTTTCGCCTTTGATAGCAGCAAAAGGCTTCGCTTGACATGTGCTCTCTTTATGAGCCCGCTTGATCTGCAAACAAGCAGAGCTCCTACCTACATCTCCCGGTGGGGAAGCCAATGTTATCCTTAGTAATGGCATTAAAAAGAAGATCAAAGGGAAACTTCAGCGTCGTCGTTGGACAAAAGAGCCCTCCAAATGGAAACACGCACAGAGGCACCAAAACGCCAGGCATGGTACGCAGGGACACAAAACATACAGAGAGAGAGAGAGAGAGAGAGAGAGGACGCCAGAGGGAAAGGCAACACACTGTTGAAGAAGGAACGTCAAATGGAAAGCAACTTAATGGATGGATGGAGGCAACGCTAAAATGCCCAAATCCACAGAATGTGAGCGGTGATTACGGCATCCTCGATGCTCTCTGCGCTCGGCTGTTCGCTTACGGACGTTTCATTACCCAACTAGGGAACGTTATCAGTATGAGGGAGCGTGGGGCCTGCTCCCCGTGTGTATGATGTAACTTGCCCTGCTAGTATTTGTGGGAATAACCCTCCAGCAGACGAATCAGAGGAGGAATAGGAGGAGGCGTGGGAGTCAGGATCAGCATCAGGTAGCTCCAAGGGGAAAGAGGGAACGGTGCTGTCAGAAAGAGAGAGAGACAGAGAGAGAGAGAGAGAGAGAGAGATGGAGGCGGAGCCTGAGCCGTCCGTCAGCCCTCAGATGGAGAGTCAACAGCCCCCAGGTCTGGAGGTGGCTGATGAGGAAGAGGAGGAATAGCTGTGTCCAGTGCCTGATGTGCAGATGAACAGAAGGCAGAGGAGAGGAGAGCAGTGGAAATCTATGGGCTGGTCCTTGGGATGGAAGAGCCGCTGCTGCTAGTGAAGTCCCACCCTAGGTCTGGGGGATAAAAGGCAGGGGGCGGAGATGAATAGTTATGGCAGACAATGATTCATCTTCCGGACAGACGCACTTGTTAGCCTGCGGTGAGAGAGAAACCTTTTGCCAGGGCTGCGGTATCTGCACACGCCAGTGTCTGTTTTGTTCATGGCATTCATTGCTACACGTGTCACCCTAAGGATCTTGGGAACTGTAGTCTGGGAAGAGTCAAGCCTGTGGTTTCTAACTCTTGAATGTGTTGGGACTACAATTCCCACAATGCCTTGTTCCAATAGGGTGGCATATACCACAATCCCCCAGCCTGTTGGGCCTGCACTCCTAAAACTCTGGGAGCCACAATCCCACAAACCAGGATAAGGAAGGGTGAATGTCATAGCTTCCTTCCTAAAAATTTTGCCCAGAGAGAAGGAAAAAAATGAGTGTTTAAACGCATTTATACAGTATACAGGTAGTCCTCAACTTACAACAGTTCGCCCAGTGCCCTTTCAAAGTTACAGCAGCACTTTTAAAAGTGTCTTACTACCATTTTTCACACTTGTGACCATTGCAACATCCCCATAGTCACATATGATCTACGTTCAGATGCATGACAACTGACTCACATTTATGACGGCCGCAGTGTCCTGAGGTCATGTGATCCCCTTTTAGGACCTTCTGATGAGGAAAGACAACGGGGTGCCGGATTCACTTAATAACCATGCTACTCACTTAACAACTTGAAGTAATTCACTTAACAAACATGGCGAGAAAAAAGGTAAAACGGGACAAAACTCATTTCACAAATTTTTCACTTAGCGACACAAATTTTGGGCTCAATTGTAGTCATAAGTTGAGGACTACCTGTACTACAGATATACACCTTGAGTTTCTTTTGCTCGGTAGCAATACAATATCCGTGCACTCTCACACACATATACAAACGCTTTCTGGTACACCCAGAAAGCTCCACTTGCTTGCGTTCATTAAAACGCCAGGCCTCATCCGGTGCATCTTATATAATAATAATCTTTATTATTAAAGGTTTGTGCGATCCTCATTTCAACAACACTTGGAAGATCTGCAGAAGAAGGCCGCTATTTAAACCTCTTTTGGGTGAATTTCTTTATGAGGATTATTATAAGCTTAGATGTAGGGGTGTCAACCTTTCAAGAAAGAGACACCCCAATGGATTCTAGGAAAATTATTTCACATGTAGACTGAGATTCTTGAAACCTTGTTGAAATGTCCTTTTTTTGTGCTTTCTTATCCTAAACCAGTGTTCCTCACAGTTAGCCATTGGAAGACGCGTGGACTTCAATTCCCAGAATTCCCCAGCCAGCATGGCTGGCTGGGGAATTCTGGGAGTTGAAGTCCACACGTCTTCCAATAGCCAAGCTTGAGAAAAACTGCTAAGAAAATCAAGGCAGGATTATCTTGACTTTCTTTCTCACCCTTCTATCTCACGCCGGACAATATAACCACATCTCCAGGATCTCAAACTCTTATTTCCCTCAACAACAACTCCAGTTCCTAAGCAACCCCTTGAGTTGCAGTTGCCTGAAATTTTTTTAACTTTGCAAAAAAAACAACAACCCACCAACCTGCTAACTGAGCTCATATTTATCTCTGAGGCATTTCTGGAGATTAAAATAACAGCGGCCAGGCCGATGCTTTGCTTCACAGCTTCTCTTTAATTAAAGGGCCGATAAGAAAACAAATAATAAAACTGGGGCAGGCTTGCAGGCCACCAAGGTGAGGCCTCTCCGCCCGAAGGAAGGCCAGCAGCTTTGTTTATGGAATTTGGATTCACCACGAGACGAGACCGCTTCTCACTGGAAGCTGATTTGAAATTAATTCACTTTTTTTTCACCCCCTTATAGGAAGTCAAAGCTGATCTCATTGTCAGTAAAAATTAAAAAGACACGCAAGGACATTTAAATAGAGGGGACAAGGAGGAGAAAGGGACAAAGCAACTTGGTATCTCTCATGTACACCGAATATTCAGGGACAATCCGTTTGAATTCTTGCCCCCAAATTGTGGCACGTACTTTGCTGTAATCTCTACGGATACGTCAACACTCCCCCAAAAAGGGATTTAATCCCCACAAGAAAAGCGAATATACATCAGAATCATCAGGCTTTGAAAATTATTCATCTATGTCCAGGGGTGGGATGCTACCGGTTCGGTCCGGTTTTATAGAACTGGTAGCTCCGAAGAGCAGCTGACACCAAACCGGTTCGCTGGGACAAGGTTTTGGGTCTGCTGTTTGGCCCACCCACCCGCCCGGACTCTTTAGTGGCTGCGTTTTCCTCCGCTCGTCAGCTGGAGAAGGTTACCGGAGCAGGTAGCGTGCACAGCGTGTGTTTTGACGCTCAAGCGCGCACTCCCCGAACCGGTTGTTGTGTTGGTCGGATCCCAACCCTGCCTATATCTGCTCAGCGGATTCGCACAGCAGAGCGGATTGCCACGCCTCAGCTGTGTTACTTCCCCAAAGTAACACTGAAGGTAAGTAACGGTGATAGCCGGGCACGCGTACGCAGCCCGCGTTAGGCGCACGCACAATTAGCGAACCGGTTGTAACACCAGGAGAATCCCACTCCCGTCTACGTCCACAATAATAAACGATTATATGTTTAAAAAAAACCCAAATCATCTTGACAGTAACAGCGGATACGTTTTTGAGAAAGTCAACTCAAGATGCTTTCTGGACTTCGTGCTGTCTCCTTGGAAACCACTTCTGGACTTTCTGCTTGCGGTAGGGGGAGGAAAAAAAATGAAACTTCGATTTTGGGTTTTGCTCCTTAGATAGGGTTCTTTTTATAGAAATAGGTAGTATGTAATTATTGTGCAAAAGTAAAAAAGTAGAAGCTCTGTCGTTAACTTATTCCAGGGGTGTCAAACTGACAGTCCATGGGTTGGATGTGTCACCTGCAGGCCACGCCCACCCCAGCTCCGCAAAGGGGAAAAACATCATGTGACAGCAACGTGACACAGCACGTTTAACACCTGGGCCTTATTCTATGGCACTAAAAAGACTCAGAAATCAATGCTTTCTTTTCATTTCCCTTTTTTTCCCCTACACGTTTTTCTCTTCCCTTTTTCCTTCTTTACTTCCCCATTATTTTTCTTTGTATTTTGTACTTCGATAAACCGATACAAATTTATCCGTCAAAGAGAATGTCCACCCAAGAGAGAGAAAGACAAGACAGGAAACGTCTCGTATACCTTACCGGATCTTAGTTGCTTGATTCGTCCATTGCTAGCACTGGGGTCAACAGGCAAGAAATCCTTAAACCAAGTGATCTCTGGATCTGGATTCCCGCTGGCCGCACACAGCATCGTAGCTGTCCGCGTACGTTCAACCACCTTCAGCTGAGGGCCCATGTCAATGACCGGGAATCCAGGAGGCAACTGGTCCTCTGTTGAAAGCCAGCAAAGAAGAGAAGGGTTAGAATCCTTGGATGTATCAAAGCAGAGTGTTTGTGTGATGACCCCCGGGCGTGGCACAAAGGCAATACAGTCAGATGATCAATAAGTCTCCCTTTATTAGCTCCAACTTTGCCCCCAATGTCACATTTGCTCCCAGCAGCAGCTGCAGTCAGCATCCAGTTCTTTTAAACTCTCATTCCCAGGTGTGACTAAGGAAGGGAATCAGGGCTCTTTCCTTCCCATAGGCCAAGCAACCCACCTTGCTCCCTTCTCCGTTCCTCCCTGCATGCCCTAGGAGGAAGAAGGGCTAGGCCTGGGTCTTCCTCTGAACTTCCTCTCCCTTGTTCTATCTCTCTCCTACTCTGCCCAGATGGACTTTGCCCTTCCCCAGCCTCCTCCACAGCCCACGGAACCACACTCCCACTCCCTGTAAGCTGTTCGTCTTCCTCCTCGGATTCAGACTCTGACGGGGGCATGACAGTTTGTCTGGGGTCAATCCCCGCTTATCTGAGTGCTGGCTGAGTTTTAAACTACAGGTCATCCTTGACTTACAACCACAGCGATTTCCATTGCTAAGAGGCATAGTTGTAAAGCGAGTTTTGCTCCATTTTACGAACTTTCACGCCACAGTTATTAAGGGAATTACTGCAGTTCTTAAATTAGTAACACAATTGTTAAGTAATCTGGCTCCCACATTTTGCTTATCAGAAGGTCGGAAAAATGGATCACTTGTGGCACTGCAACCGTCATAAATATGAGTCAGTTGCCAAACATCTGAATTTTGATCACATGACCATGGGGATGTTGCAATGGTTGTAAGTGTGAAAAACAGCCATGTCACTTTTTTCAGTGCTGTTGTATCTTTGAAGGGTCACTAAATGAACTGTTGTAAGTCGAGGACTACCTGTACCAAGGGAGAAAACCACACCCCACTAACACCGGCAGGGCAAGCTGCTGCCTAGGAACCCCGAGTAAACCCCACATATACGGCCAACCGAGCTCACAGGGAGCAACCTGGAGTATGGCCCAATCCTTGGCTTATGACCTCAATTGGGATCAGTGTTTCTGTTATTAAGCAAGGCGGTTGTTAAATGAGTCACTCCCTATTTTTCATGTTTTTTTTGCCACGGCAGATAAGTGAATGACAGCAGTCGTTAAGTCAGTCATGCTGTCGTTAAGTGAAACCGGCTCCCCCCCAATTGATTTTGCTGGTTGGAAAGGTCACAAATGGGGGGTCAATTACCGCATAATCCCTTGCAGGGTGAAGTCTGGGCAACTGAATGGAGCTGAGTGTTTACTGGCCGGATGCCCTACCTGTCACCAATGCGGAGTTTTGTTCGGCAGATATATTCTCATTGTGCCCAGAGAGAGAAATATCTGCCTCTACCTAGGATCGAACTCACAGCCTCCTGATTGTGAGGCGAGAGCTCCACCTCTAGGCCACCGCACCACTCGATGGAACCATTGTAAATGTGCATCTGAATTGTGATCACGCGTCCATGGGGATGTTGCACAGGTCCTGAGCGCAAGAATAGGTTGTAAGTCATTTTTTCAGTGCCAACAGTCGCTAAACAAATGGTTGTAAGTCAACGACTACCTATATTAGTGTTACGCCTCAATAATATTATCTCGGGCGAAAGATCAGATCTGCACATAATATTAAACTAATACTAATGTTAAACTAACGCTTTACCAAACAGTTTATGCCCAGTAATTTTCTCAACCACTGCCTTTAGATTAGATTAGACTGATAGAATTGGAAGGGACCTTGTAGGTCATATAGTCCAACCTCCCCCGCCCCCAAGCAGGAGACCCTACACCGGTGATGGCGAACCTATGGCACACGTGCCACAGGTGGCACACAGAACCATTTGTGCTAGAATGCGAGCTGCAGGCAAACTTACCTCACTGCGCATGCGCACGCTTCACAGCTGATTTTTGACCGGTTTGAGGCCTTTTTCGGCCTTCTAAAGGCTTGAGGAAGGCTTCTGCAGGCCGAAAACTAACCTACCTACCTACCTACCTACCGGTATCTACGTCCATCCACCTACCCAACCACCCACCTACCAGTATCTATCTATCTATCTATCTATCTATCTATCTATCTATCTACTTACCTACCAGTATCTATCGCTACCTACCTATTTACCTACCTCCATCCATCCATCTACCTATACATCTACCTACCTACCTACATCTACCTACCAGTATCTATATCCATCCATTCATCGGTATCTATACATCTATCTATCTATCTATCTATCTATCTATCTATCTATCTATCTATCTATCCATCCATCCATCCACCTATCTACCCATCCATCTATCCATCCATCTAATCTATCTATCCACTTATCTACCTACCTACCGGTATTTACAT